TCTTTATATTTGGGGGATCTGATTTTTCGGAGTTCTTTATGTATTCTAGATAGTAGAGCTTTGTCTGAGAAACAGCTGGTAAAATTTTTTCCCACATTGTAGGTTTTCTCTTAGCTCTGTTGGTGATTTCTCTTGCAGAGCAGAAGCTTTTTTTCAAAGATGAGATCCCCGTTATTGTTTCTTTGCACTAATTCCTGTGCTACTAAGGATTTGTTTTAAAGTCTTTTCTTATGCCAATGTCTTGGAGAGTTCTACCTAACTTATCTTCCAGCAAGTTCAGCACGGTACTGGCAAAGAAACAGACCCAAGGATCAGTGGAATAGATTAGAGGATGCAGAAACAACTCCAGACATACTCAGCTACCTCATCTTTGACAAATGAGCCAACCATCCTCACTGGAGGAAAGATAGCTTCTTTAATAAATGGTGTTGGAAAAACTGGATTTCAACTTGCTAAAGATTACAACTGGACCCCTATCTTTCACCATGCACTAAACTAAAATTAAAGTGGATTAAATATTTAAATATTAAAACAGATATATTAAATCCTTCTGGGATTCTATTCAAGTACCCCTTGACCCAGAGGAGATACTGGTGGATCTATATGATACTGAACAACTTGGTTCATTCTGTAAAGATCTTAGTTATAGAGGCCGAGAAAGCAGTCCTCATCTACAAAGTCCATAAGCCCATCTTGATCTTTAGCTTGAAGGGCTGTAGTATTTTGTACACAAGGTGCCGCACTGGCAAATACATGTCAGATGATTCACAATGGTGTCCAATGAGGATTTTTACATCCATCTGCGGGATCTCTTATAAACTGTCTTCCCCTACTTAGGCCTCCATAATTTCTAGGCTTTCTTTCTAGAATACACAGTCTACAGTAATTTATCTTCAATACTGGCTGCCGAGGTGATTGCAAGTTTGATGTTATCTGTATCCCTTTCCTTCCTATAAGTCCCTCCAAAGGCTCTCACCATCTAAGACAATATCCAAGCACACAACACCGAGCCCAGATCCCTCATGATGTAGTTCTTGGTCACCTCTGATCCATCCATCCAACCATCCATTTAGGCCTCACATTGTAGGAAGAAAGGCCCACTTGAAACTTCAGTCTTGCTTCTCTCTCTGCATTTGACATCCCCTCATCTGGGTATCTCTTTTAGAATCTGGCTTGGATTTCCTCTTCCAGGAATCCTGCACTGGACTTTTGCCCATTAGATCATTAGATCTTGTTCAATGGGCCCCTGGCTGTTGAGCCATTTTTGCACAGTTCCTTTTGTAGGGAGTGTTCTCCAGGGTCAGATAAGACTATGCTCAGTCCTAGATCTCTGGCCTTGTGCCTGCCACATGACACAACCTCAGAGAGTATTTGTTTGTGGAATGCATGAAGGAAAGAATGGAGGTGTTTTACTGCCTAGGTGCTCACTGTGTTATAACATTTCCACTGTCACTGGAAAAGACAATGCCTGATGCACAACAGCTGTGAGCTAAACTGTCCATCCCGGGAGGAGTCAGACGCAGCCTGACCCTGGGCATCTCAGCAGACCCAGAGGGCTGTGATCTTTTGAGGGCTGAATATAGGACTCCTTTCTCAGGACTTTTTGACTTGGAGAGAAAAAGAAGAATTTCAGCTATGTGAAACATAGAAGTTGACCAGTGTGTTTGGTTCAGAGTTAAAGAGTGGGAGATCTGAATATGTTAAATATCAACCCCGTGTTGAGGTCTGTGATCTGGGCAAGAGAGACCTCTTGATCACGGGCAGGCCTTGGGGGCAGTGGCTGACAGTGTCCACCTCACCTCCCAGCCAGGCTCTCGACTTAGGAAGTCACCACCGAAGTCTTCTTAAGAGCTAAGACTTTCCCCAGCTGCGGGTCCCCCTCAGCTTCTGTGATAGAAAGCCAACCAAAACAACACTTTCAGCCCTATGCTAACAAAAGGATGGAAAAAGTCTTCTACTTGAAAAAGCCCCTTATGTGGCCTGAAAGGCAAATGTTTTTTATTTTCTGATAAGGAGGTTAGGTTACTTTACAGGGCTATGAGCAGTTATTCGGCACATTGCTGGGGCTTAACGTATATGCTCACTTGTTCAAGTAGTATTATTATCTCTCATGCCTACCTGTGCCTCCTCTGAGGAGGTGATCGTTCATGGGTCTCTCCCATGTTTTACATCTGGTAACCGAGGTGGGAATGGCCCATTGTTCTGAATGTTCATGTGAAATATTTGCACATCTGCATATCAGGTAGTCTTGGAAGGTGAAGGTAGTGTATCCCTCACCGAGCAGAGGGCAGGCATACTGAGTGCCCATTACCAGGCTTTCCTGCATGTTTAGTTCATGGTTCTCTTCTGGAACTTAACCCACCACCAGGGTGAGCGTCCTCTGGGGCCATTCATGTCATCTCACGGGTCTTGGGACCAGGGAGATTTGATGCACTTTTGCTGCAGGTCACTTATTCAGCCTCACCCCTTCCGTCAGTAGCCATGAAACACGACAGGCCAGCTGCTCACTTGAAAGCAGGATAAACGCTCAGTTCCTTTGGAGTTACGCACAGACTTACATCCTTATTGACATTCCTATTCTCATGTCCTAAAATTCAAATATTTTGATCTTCATGTTGATGAGAAGAGTAGTAAAGATGAGTAACTTTTCCTAGGTCACAGAGCTAGCTATGGCCCGAGGTGAGATTTTTGTCTGATTCTCATCCCAGAACCGCTCTCTTTCCACAACACTTGCGTTGATGTGTTAAACTGCAAGCGTTAAAATGCCTGGAGTTCTGTTCCTGGCACTGGGCCAGTTAAAATCCTGTTGGCTCTAAGTCATCCCATTGCTATGATGATAAAAATGTTCAGGCAAAGAAAAGAAAACAATTGAGCAGCATAAACAAGATAAAACCATCTGAAGTTCCTTCCATTAAAAAATGAAAAAAACAGTTCTTCTCTAGTATTTACACAACGCTTGGCCCAGAGCCCTGACCTGCGGCCCTCTCTCCTGGTGGACGGATGAGACCCATTTCTCAGCAGGCAGGATGGGCTGAGTCACGTGAAATCAGACTAAACAATGGGGCAGCAGAAGCAGGTGAGCTGGGGGGTGGAGTATAGGGTGGTCACAAGCTCCCAGCTCTGGTGTCAGAGTCTAAGCCTTGATGAGCCCTTGGAAACCCCTTCGTAAGACTGCACGGTGCATATCCCTCTTGGGTCTTGTTCCTTTTGATCATTGCCCAACCTGCGGACAGAGATGGACCTGATTCATCAACTGATCATCTGACTAATCCAAATTTCTTGGCACGGTCAACTGCAGTCTGAGAATATTAAGTGGAAAATTCCAGAAATGAACAACTTATAACTTTAAAGTAACTTTTATTACAGTTTATAATTATAATTGTACTATTGGTTATTGCTGTTAATCTTTTACTGTGTCTAATAAATAAATTAAACTTGACCATAGGTAGGTATATAAACCCCCCCAATATATACAGAGTTGGGTACCATCTTTGGATTCAGGCATCCACTAGGGGTCTTGGAGCACGTCACCCTCAGAGAAGGGGTGACTACTGCAGCCTTTTATTGTACCATTGAGAAAATGAGGGCAGTGATCTGGGATCAGCCTGAGAAAGGCCTTGGGTTTGACCAGGCCCCTAGGGGCTCTCTCTGCTTCTCTCCCCACCAGTCTCGGGACTTCTAGCTCCTTTGGCTGGTGGCTGTTCCCAGCTGCGTTTGGATCCCAATTAACCTCCTAGGGAAGCAGTGGGCTGCTTTTTGCTGACTCGTAGGTGGAGACGGTGCAGCCTCAATAAGCAGAGGGGTCTTGGAGCCAACCCGGCACCCTAGGGCACAGTCTTTGATCTCAAAGCTGCTGATCTCTGATTGTTAAGCTGCTGGGAATCTTCCAAAGATTCACCTGGAAGGGGATGGCTAATGAGTTAATTTTCTCTCTCTGGTACTCATTTTAAATTACAGTTACTTCTCAGGAGGCTCTTAGAAGTGATGCAATAAGGAAGTTTCATTAACCAATACATGCCCACTATTCAGTGTGTTAGTGACCCTGGATACAGAGAGTGTCAAGACCGACACATTTTTCCTGCCTCCATGCCGTTAGGTACCACAGACTCACCGCTCTTGGCATCATTTCCTCTTGAAAGACAAGAACACTGAGGCCAGAGAGGTCAAGCAATTGCCCAAAGTCCCAAGACCAAGAACGGGGAGCCAGAACCCAAGCCTAGGGACTGGGGCTCTGCAGTCCATGTTCTAAGCCCTGGAGGTCATCGTCACTGTGACCATGGGAAGATAGGGCTTACTCATAACTGTTTAACAGGTCCATTTTTTTTTTTTCTGATTCTATGAATCAGAAAAGTCAACATTTTAGCTGGTGCCGTGATGCCTGGGCCAATCTGTTTCCAGAGGAACATTTTATTCTTATATTTGTTTCATGCAGCTGGTGCCTGTGTGGGTAAAGGATGCCAGTCACTTGTCCCTGCCCCCTTGCCAGAGCTAGACAGTCCCAGCCCCATGCACACAGATCCTGTCAGAGGAAACAAAATCACAGCAGGGAAAAGCAAGAACTGTTTCCCAAACAATTATGGTAGCGCAGTTTGACTCTGAATGCTTGGTTACATTTCAAATTTATTTCCAATCATCTTATGGGATCAATGGGGAACGAAGGTACCTTTTAGCTCAGGCACCTGCTGTCCCCACCCCCCAAATGTCAAGGACTGACATTTGGTGCCATTATCCCTTGGGCAGTGTGCCAGTGTCACCCTTCCTTGCATGCCCACCCCATGAGATGACATCTCGCACTGTTCAGGGTGACTGAGATGTCCACACTCTCTCTCTTCCTGGCAGAGCCAAAGGCTTGCCTCCCGTGCTGGCCACTGTCTCCCCAGAGAGGTGTCTCGCAGCTCGGGCCTCCTCTGTCCTCTCCAGGCAGGCTTCCAGTGTTCTCAGGTTCAGATCTCGGCTTGCCTGTGCCCTTGAGTTCTGCCCGGTGAGGCCGGTAATGTTGGTGTGCATGTTTTCTATTCTGCAGTGAGAGGAGGCCTTTGGAGAGGTGAAGTCTGGTGTCCCTTAGATAAAGTACTCCTTTTTGCTGTTGTCACCAGCATCCTCCAGGGCAGGGTCACTCTTCAGGGCCACGTCAGCACTCTCAGCAAACTCCGTGCCCTTGGCCTCGTTGGTGTGGTACGTGCCCTTGTGCCGGAACAAGTATCGGAGCACGACGAGGAGAAGGCAGAGCAGGACGAGGGCCACGATGGTGATCACGGCTGCCGGAAGGAAGGAAGACATGGGGGGTCAGTCTGGAGCACACGCCTTGGGGCCTGGGAGGGGTTCAGAACCTGCAGGGGTTCTACAGCAGGACAAACGCTCTGCTGTAAGTAGCACCCATCTGGGCTGGCTTCTGCTTTCCTCCTTGTGCTTCTCCCCGTTCATCTCAGTGATCTTTCTCCTCTCCTCTTCCCGCCTCCTCCATCTGCACACTACTGGCTAGAACAGAAGCCCGGGACTGGTCCCTGCTGGGATGTGCTCAGGTCTACTGAGGAAGACAGATCTGTAGGAGGTCCCTTGTGGATTGGACTTTTGGCGTGGTGAGGATATGTGGGTTGGCTTAAACTGAACAGCTCCTGGGATGCCAAATGTTCATTTCTTCAGATCATCTGAACTGGGGGTTTCCTGGAACATGGGGCTTTCTGTGCAAAACCGGGGAAGTCCCAGCAGACTGAGAAGAGGTGGTTGCACTCTGTGTGCTCTACAGGAGGAAATGATGAGGGTTGCTGACAGCACCTGGGTGAGGGGTGAGAAGTATGGTTTGAGAGCTGCCCCTCATCCAGCCTGCCGCATTCGCTCCTGGGGAGGGGAGACTTGGCCTTATAGAGACACCATGCCTAAAGGCAGGGCCAGTGATGGTCAGTTCACTCAGGGCTGCAGGAGCTGTGGGATGAGGTGTCAAGACAGGACAACTTCAGGGAAGGCTGAAAGACAGCAGGCTCATGGTGAGGTTGGCTTTGGCCGTTTGCTCTGGGGCTGCAGAATAAGCCTCTGTCTTTACTTGGATCAGGTTTGTTCAAGGGGCTTTGGGGAGATGTTACTGGGGAACGTGGTGAGGCTAAAACTGCTCCCAAAGCCCAAATTCCACTTTTATGGAACAACTTCCTACACTTCCCTCCGGCTTCTGAGGGAAACTAATGTCACACAATGTTAATAATATGTCTGAGAAATACGTCTGAGAAGCACAGGCTCGAGGCCCAGTGAGGGAGAGAAATGTTGGGTTAAGTAAAATCGAACAGGTGTCTTTGACAGCTTCCTGCTGTCTCTGTCCCTTTTTCTTTTAGTTGTAGAAGTTCCCTGAGCTTCTAATAAGCTACAGAGAATTATGAACCCCAAATGAGGGAACAGAGCAAGAGACAGCTTCCAAACTAGGTTGTTCTGGAATGCAGTTTGGGGACACAGCTGTGAGCTCTTGGGAGCTACCCATCCAGGGTTCAGTATGAGGCAAATGAGGCGTTGTATTTTCTTTAGGGTGGAAATGTGAGACTCAGGGCACGGACCAGTGTAGGACAAGGGAGATCAGGTAGAGTCCAACACATGTTTGGCCTGAGCTGCTCTTTGCAGCCCGAGCGCCTTGTGGGTCAGGGGTAGGAGCGTGGGTGCTTCCTGGCATGAGTGTCGAGGCCTCGCTTGGCCTCGGCAGGTACCATGCCCAACATTTCTGATGAGGACTGCGCTCTTGCATTCCACAATCAAAGCATCCACTGAAGAAGGAGGTGGCTGTGGGATCCTCAGGCCAGTTCTCCCTGGGACCTCCCCGGCTAGCAGAAGGGCCTGTCATGCCGGCTCACCTGCAATGATGGCAATGTCCATCGCTGTGGGAAAGGTTTTCCCCGCCTCAGGCACTGGTACGATGGCATCGGGTATCCCTGGGTCAGATGTTGGTGTGGTGTGGAGTACTGCAGAAAGAAGAGAGGAGCCTGAGAGGACGGGACGGCTCTCTGCACCTGGAAACAATTTGGCCTGAGCCTGCACACTCTCTGCACCCTTGTGAGCAGCTCTGGCATGGCTCGGGTAGACAGGCATGGAAAGTATCTTCACAGACCACTGCCCAGGTGTACAGACCTGACCCAGGCTCAGCTTGGCTGCTGACCAGGCTAGAGAACCCTGAAAACCCCAAGAATCACTAGGTCGCTCACATCTGTGGGTCTCTGCTGAATCCCAGCACTGAGACTGGGGCCCACACCTGGTGCGTGCCCGACAGGTTTCTGCAGTGTGAATGAAGTGTGCGAGATCGGGTTTAACACAGGCCATCTGTGAAGTGTCTGTTCTTGCCAGGTGCTGCTTCAGCTGCCTTTGGTCTAAGCTCTCCTGTGGTCCTCCCAGCAATCCTGTGAGGTACCTGGTATTATAAGCCCATTTTACAGCTAGGACACTGAGTCTTAGAGACGTGATGAGTCTGTGGTTACATAGCTTGTCCAAAGACGGGTGGGGACTTTCCCATTACTCTTATCTTTGGGTGTACTTTCCCTCTTGAAAAACTCCTCCCTGGGCCGGGGATTTAGCTCAGTGGTGCTTGTGCAAGTGCAAGTGCAAGGTCCCAAGTTCGATCCCCAGTACAAAAAACAAAGAAAGAAACAAACAAAACCCTGACAACCCTCCCTAAGACTTTGCATCGATTCTCCTGGGGGCCTGGTCCTGTGACTATCTGAGTAACTGAGTGTGTAACTCTGCAGACCAGTGATGTGGCTGCTGGGCAAAGATCTTAGGGACAGCAGGAACCTGGAGCTGCGGCACAGAATGTCTCTTCTCCTTTGGGAGATGAGTGAGAAGAAAGATTTATTAGACCACAGAAATATCAGTGTTAACACGGAAAAGCCACGTTCCTATTACAGCAGCTATGCATATTAAAAAGAGAAGTGTGCTTCTTAATAGGCATTTCCACTCCGAGGATCACTGCAATTACAGTGCTGTGAGGTCATCCTCCCCCGGAGGGCTGCCTGGTGAGAAGCTGGCTGTGGGTTTCAGGAGGCACAGTGGGTGGCAGAAACAGTCTCCAGGCTGGAGGCCCAGAACAGGGTGTCAGAAGAGCCACGCCAGGAGGTCCAGCAAGGAGCCCACAGGTAGGGAGGAGGATGCAGCCAGTGACTAAGTCAGTAAAGAGAAAGAGTGGACGTGCTCAGAGGCCGGCAGGGAGGAAGACTGTTTAAGATCCAAAGCATCAAGCTCACGTGGATACCGGGCTCTGCTGCCCACTGGGGGCAATGTAGCCTGTGACTGAGTACCTAGCAGATGTTCAGATAGTCACTGAAGGCATGGAAAATGCACGGGCACACGAACACATAGATTTAGGGGCTGGAATTCTTGGCCATTTAAAATAACCAGACACCTCACGCAAGGGTGGTTCCAGAAACTCCAATACCCGGAATTCCCCCAGTTTTCCAGGTGAAGACCACTGTTTCTTAAATGAGTTTGTCCAGTGCAGCCAGCCCATTTCTTCTTCCCTTCAGAGCACATACTAACTGCTTACCACCTACCAGGCCTCGCTCTCAGCTCTATGACACTGTAACTTAGTCTTGGCAACAATTCCTTTTGGTAGGAGTTATTGTTACCCTACTTTACAGATTTGGAAGCTGAGTTGAGACAGGTGGTATCATTTTCTCTGGGTCACACAGCTACCAGAAACATCAGGGGTGAGTCAGTTAGAGCTCGCAGCTGAAACCCCACAGGGCATTGCCTGGGGAAACACTGGCAAGTGGGTTTCAGACCTACAGACCAGGTTAGAAAAGTCCCTGTACCATGTGCTCAGAGACAGTGAGAGTTCTGGTGAGTCTGATTTGGGGTTCAGCAGCAGGGTGCCCTCTGAGTGCACAGAAAGTTCTCATCAGCTCACATTAGGACTTTTTCTTCTTCTTGTTTCTTCAGTGCCCCTGTGCAAGTGAGGTCGAAGGCTGACAGTTGAAGTTCACTAACCTAACTTTTCCTTTAGGCCTGAGAGGCCAAGTACATTTTATTTTCTCCTTGAAGATTTGCTGTTATGGTTCCTGAGAGGATGTAGCATTCAGACTTTAGGTCTCTAATAGATCAGAGTTTCCCAAAGGGGCGAGTGAATAGCTCATTCCCCATCCACCCATTTCTCCCAGAAGCCAGGCACTGTTAGCTGAGCCACAGGCTGAAGAAAGGACAACAGGACAACAGCTCCTGTCTCTAGGACGCAGTTGTAGACCTGTGGCACATTGATGGGAAAAGTTAGAATCCCTCACCTCTTTATGTGACAGTGTGCAGTTATAGGATAACTAGGTTCCTAGGGGCGTCTTGGAGGGGTATCAAGCCCATGTCTCTGCTCTAGGACTCCTGGATTCCAAGACAGGAGGAAGTTCATGATGTTGCATGTTCATTTTTGCTTTCAGCAAACCTCTTCTAGCACTTAGTATGTTCTAGCGATGTGGGAAGTCACTGTGTAACCAAGGGGGACTCTGATGACCCCAGCAAAGGCTTCTGGAGGAGGCTTATCCCCAGCCTCCCCTGCTGAAATGGTGGGTGGCAATGCCAGCAGAGGGAAAAGCATAGTGGCAAGAGAGAGGCGTGGAGGAAAGGCCTGTGGAGCGTGGAGCAGTTAGCAAGGCTTTGGGGAGGGGCAGAATGGTGTCTCTCCAATCGCTGTGATGGCAGGTCACAGTGTGAGTGGCCAAGCCCAAGCAGCTGCTGCCTGTGAGGGTGTCACCTGCAGAAAGTTCCTGCATCGTACCCTGGGTGTATGGATGGACTCCACAGCTGATGGCCATGTCAAATTGACCACCTGTGTCAGAGTGTGCCAGTCTCAAGGCCAAAACGATGGCCCCATAGTTCCCTCTGGGTCACCTTGTAAACAACCATCGAATCCCAGGGCCACCAAAGTGTGATGCAAGGTAATTAGTTATATGGCTGTAATAACCTATGAAATGGTCCAGCTACGTTCCTCTTCTTAACCACTGTCCTGTGTCACCTGCTGCTGCTACTCTGCAAAAACATAACACAGGTTTTGATATTAGAAGCCCTGTGGGCTGCCCCATACCATCCGAATTGAATTGTAGCATTGTGGCGGGGCTTGGGGCCTGGGTGGCGAGAAGTGACCTCTGAATCCTGGAGAAGATGGTCATTCCTGCTTCACCAAATGGACTCAGCAGTCAGGAAGCTGAGTCAGGCAGGGGCATTTCCACCTGTGTACACCCTGGAGTCTTACTCAGACATTTTTTACATCTAGGCGTTTGCCTTGGGGGCTGTTTCTGGGAGGGGGGCTGAAAAGTACGGGAAGATGGCATAACTCACAGCACAGAGTATGTTTCCGAGTTCTTCTCTACGTGTCTTCCTCTGCTACTATCTTTGAGCAATTTTTAAAAATTAATAGAGCCTTTAAAAAAAAAGCAAAACCATGGCCAATCTGCTTTGGGTGAGCTATAGAGGCCAAGTTAAAAGGTGGAATTATCTTGTCTCTATTCTAGACCCAGAAAATAAAAATGGAATCCTCCTAATTTGAGGACGGTGATAGCAGGAACAATCAGCAAGAAAGGTGATTTAGCTAAGCAGGATGAAGTCATCACTAGTCACACAGGAATTCTTTGGGGAGAAGACTCTGTCATCTTTGTGTTGTGTGGTGTCTGCAGCTTATCAACAAAGCATCAAATACCCTTCTATATTCGTGGGATAGAGGAAGCAAAAGGGATCATTATTCCCTTGAAACCCCACCGTCCTGACCCCAGAAGACACATCCTGCTTAGGGTTTTTAGAAAAGTCAATTTAGAAGAGACAGGAAGCAGGGAGGAGAAGACTCTGGTCAGGCTCTGGTGTCTGGCTCCTGAGGAGGCTACAATGGCTGGGAGCAGCTGGCAGCTGAACAAGCTCAGTCTAAAGACAATGCAGAGACCACCCAAAGGGAGCTGCTTCTTTCTGTGCTCCCTAGTGAGAGGAGGAGAATCTACCCTTGAAGAAATCAATACGGCTTTAGCACTCGGAAAGGGAGACCCAGGTACTTCTAATTTGGACCTGTCTCTGTACCAAGACGACTGCTCAGCGTGGTGGGAGAACAAAGTCCTCCGGAGGAACTGAAGCTGAGGGCAACAGAGCAACAGCAGATGACACGTGACAGTGACACGGCCCCCACTGTCCGGGCTCCAGGGAACCCCGCTTCAGGACATGGTTTCCACAGACCCCAGCAGTTGGCCTCACATCTTCCAAAGGGGGTCTCTCCCCTTCTTGGAACTCACTTCTTTCCTCTGAACTCTGTGACTCTTGCTTTGACATCCCCCACAGCCACAGATTACAGTCTTTTTGCCTGAAATCTGCGGGTGGAGCTAATGGCGACAGAATCCAAGCTGGTGGAACACGGACCTTCATTCTGTTGCTCGTGGATCAGGTACCTCTCAAACCACTGACCTCTGACCTTCAGGGTAAGGAAGGCCCGTTCTCTGGGTGGTGCACGGAGAGAACCCGCCTATGGGTGTCCTCCAAGAAAAGAACAGGTTTCCTACTTCTTTTGCAGGAGTCAACGAGAAACTGAGAATACGGCAGCACTCGGTGAGAAAGTGTTGGATTAGTGCAAATTAACGTATGCACCGTCTATTGTGCATAAAACGTGAGATCCCAAGAAGGGAAGGAGTTAAATACTCATAGGAGTCTGGGTCTCCTCCTCAAATCGCACCTTATCCTACCCTTCCCATCTTGAGCTACGATGACAACTGGAGTCTCCTTTCCTCCTCTTGCTTGGTAAGGTCGTCGTGGGACTGAGCAGGTAAAGCACTGAGGCCCAAACCTGAGCATCAGAACTGTCCGGGAGACTTGTTAGACCGCAGATCACTACCTCCTCCTGCAGTCTGGCATTTGGAGCAGTCATCAGTTCAGGGGTGGGACTGTAAACTTGCATTTATAACATGTGTTCCAGTGCTGCAGATCCTGGTGGTCCAGGAGCCTCACCTTGAGAACC